AAATAAAATGCCAATACATGATCTAACCTGGCATATGGCAATATGGAATAACATGGCATTTTAAGCTATCTTTTAATATCATTCTATAACACAATATCGACAACACTTTTTTTTTTTTTTAAAAAAGATAAACCTTATTAAAAAGTTATTTGGATTTGACTGGTCTACGATCTTAAACAATATATCCTTATAAAGAACATTATTGTGTATGTGTGTGTTCTCTGAATATAAACTGGCATTAAGTCTCAAAAAATGAATCTGGTAAAGTGTCAATGGTGGAATATAGGTGATAGGTATTATGGCTGTTCACTGTGAAATTCTTTCAATTTTGCTATCTGTTTAAAAATTTCCATAATAAAATGTTGAGGAAAAAAGTTCATCTGAGACAATTTTAATGAATAGCATTTCAATCACATTTAAAAATCAGGTTCACCTACCTGGAGAAATGTCTCGGGCTAGAAATGGGACTTGGTGGTAGCCCACTGCTGCTCACAAACATTTGTAAGGATGGTGAAAAACATTGCTGGAAAAGCATATTTAATATTAAAATAGTTCTAGTGCTCCAATTTTCAAAATATTCTTCACAAAAAGACAGAAACAACATCCTTAGAATTATTTAGCTATGTGTCTCTCATATACATATGAATGAGACTACATATACATATTAATTTTTTTCCAAATTACTACCATAGATTTCCATTGATTTTCCTTCCAGTCATTGGATTCTTTAAAAGTGAAGTGCTTTATGCGTGTGTTTGAGAGTAAATAGCTCAGTGTGTGAAAAAGAGTTAATATCTTGTCAATAAGCCTACCTTTCCAAATCCTCTGGTGGGTGATGGTGCCGGAGAAACTGGAGTGAAGTCAATCCTTTTAGGAGAATACAATTTCTCTGGTTTGTCAAAATCACTATCACTCTGTAAACATAAAGTGTTATTTCCTCATAATTCAAAATTCAGCACATCACACCTCTTCTTTACTACTCAAACATGCCTACAGTTTTAGAATAGAAATGTACAGATTCTTAAAAGTCACAATATAATATTCTAGTGGAGAAGCAGAAATCAAAAATGAATACATAGTTGAAAACAGAAGGGACAGAAATATATGGAATAATTAATAAGCCAATGAACAATATACAGGTTTCTAGAAAATAAAAAAAAAATAAGGAAACATGAATACTTTACCAGGCTCAAGCTCTCATCCCATGATTGGCTTATCTGCATTGCCGTTTGCACTTCCCTAAAATAAACAAAAATGAAAGGCCATCAGTGCTCAGAAACAAGACATAGATTAGGCTGTGCCCTATTCTTGCGAAGTGCTAACCTTTCATGTGCAGCTTCTCTGTTCATCATATCCATGCCTTCCTCCTGCCAAGACAAACATGTGCTGAAAACATAATACTTATCCGCAAAAGTTCTTTATTTCAAAGAAAAGAAAAAAGACTTTTCTACCTTATTTGACATAATAGCAGTACAGACATTCTAAAACTGCCACCCATGTCACATCTGTATTTTATCTGAACACTCAGAAGAATTTTAATCTGTCAACAACTAACCAGTTGCAGCCTGACATATTTCTGATATCTACATCTTCAAAATGAAAATAAAATCAAAATGTAACATTCAGAAAACTGTAATCTGTGCTAGAAAAGTAAAATTTACCCTTTTGATTTGATGCACTCTGCTACTTGGAATCCGATTAGGTGAGGATGACAGCAACTGGAGAGAAAGTAAACATTTACTATTTTCTGGATCACAAAGCAGCAATCTGCTAATCAGCACTAGTGTACAACCTCTAGATAATTTTTCATATTCTTCTTAGAAATCTAGCTCTTTAAATTAGTGAACATTAATGCACTAGAAGCAGTACATTCAGTCTTTACAAAGTACACCAGGTGTCCAACCTCAAGGCACCACCTGTCGCTAAACAGACACCAACTTTAACATTTTTCCCAAATGAATGCAGAGCTGTATTCGTATTTGTACACTTATGTGAAAAAAATAAATAAAGACTCCAGGCCTTGGAAATATCCATTACCCAACTAATCTAAAGTAAAGAACTATATAAGAAGGGAAAGAAAAACTGATTTTATTCATTTTTACTACCAATGCACCAATGGAGGAAGACAGACTAAGAAGACCAGTATAATAGTATCTATGATTAATATTTATCAAAAACACTTTAAAACTGCATTAAGGAGACTTTGTTTCTATGATCTAAGTAAATTCTAAAATTTGATCACTAATGCTATTACCACAAACCTCGCTAGTTAAGAAAAATCAATGTGGAAGGCAAAGTATATTTTTAAAATAACTGTTGCTTTCCCTTAGATCACCATTGTTTAATAGCACAAAGCTGAAATGATTTGGAGACCAAATTATGTTTCTTCAAAAAAATCACAATCTGATCACAAAACGTAAGGTACAATTCATATCAACAGACCTTACAGGGTTCTAATAGCCATAATGTAAACAACCATTATTTATACCCTAATGGAATGCAAATGACATTATAGGACTACCCTACCGAATAAGACAATTATCCTGTTACAAAAGGCCCTATCTAGTAAAACATTGTTGAATACTAATGTAGTAAGAAGTATAAAACGGTGATAAACTGCTCTAAGTTGTTTAGGCAAAAGCTAATTCATGTAAAAAAAATTTAAAGTTATCCACTGAAATATGATTTTATCTCAAAGATTATCTCTTCGTTATCCACCCCTTCCTTTGACTTTTTCCTCTCCTAGACTTTGAAAAAAAGAACTTTACCAGTAAAATCCTTGTAAAAAGATTTTTTTTTACATGTTTACTGGTGAACTCTTAATAAGGTCATTTGAAAAACACTAAGCTACTAGGCAAGTAAATAAGGCAGGAAAGACTCTAACAGGAATAATGTGAAGGGAGCATGGATGCGTCCATCAGGGAACAAAATCCCAAAGGCAGTGAAATAATCAGGAAAGCCAAAGTGAGGATTGCCAAAAGCTGACTGTGGAGAAAATCAGAAATTTAGATGCTGCATCTACATGATGTACAACTTATCAAGTTTAAACAGAAATGGAAAGTAGACCTGAAAGAGAGACAGAGGAGTAAAGTTGTGTCTAGTACCAGAAATAAGAGTAATGTATAGGCTGAGAGAAAAGCCAAGAAGTTCAAGAAGGTGCTGGTAAATGGTGATGAAGTAAAGCAAAGAGCTCAAGTAGAAGAAAAGAGGCCTCTGACATTGGCAATGAAGTAGGCACTGGTGACTTTTAAAGGAGCAGGTTTTTAACAGAGCTTTGGTAGGAGTAGTAAGATTACAAACTGGCCAAATAGTTGGCAAGAAATTAGTAGACAAGGAATTAGAGGCAATTGAGTACAGATTAAGCTTTGAAAAAGCTCAGAGAGGAGAAAGGAAAAAAGGGAAAG